CAAAGAACCATTTTTATGGAGCACGCCAACTTCACCCCGAGGTACGGTACAAGTTCGTACTTTGTAATTGTAGACGCGGTTTGCGCTTCACAAAAACACTACAGAAGTGCTAGACCAGAGGCTGGACTCACATGCCCGATGATGTATTTTTTTATTGTCACTTATCGTCTGTGCGAAGGGAACGATCGGCGTTCTACCAAGAGTACATACATGTACATGTAAACCAAAGTGTGCAGCTAACTCTGCATCTATGCTGCATAAAACCGATGCCACCGCATAAAAATATTTCATGTCATCATGAATTATAGAAAAAACTAGGCCTAAGAAAAACCCATCACACCATAGGTTCAGTGCAAATCACCGTATCCAAAAGGTGATAACGGGAAGTTCAAGTGCTTTTTTTTACTTGTGCACGACAATCGGCAATGCGAAACAGAAGTGACCTTGGTGATACGGTGAAATGACCATCTGAACAGCTGCGAGCGGCAGCAACGGTGAGTCACTATTATGACCCAAACAAAACGCTTTGCACTGGGGTGATTCGTGGGATGATTCTCCCAGAGTTGCACACTCTGGTTTATGTACTGCACTGGTTGTATGTATCGTCTAGATTGGCACAATGCAAAGACATCACATTTTATCGATTGCGCCACTGCCATTAAAATCATGTCTAATGAATTATTTCGATACAGCTATGAACAAATTTTTTTAATTAAGTGCGCAGTCCTTGCAAGGTAGGTCAAGAGGTCAAGAGCCTTGACCTGTGTGTCGGAGTAAGGAGTGAGCACTTAATTTTGTTCATGACTTTATTTAAATTGCTATCTCCACCTGGAGTATTAATATTCCGATACTTGAGATTCTGGAACGCTGTGTGTATGAACAGTGGCTATGAAGGTGAATTGTGATCACCACAGGCACAGGACTTGAGAGCATACTTTCATGAAAAGATGTAGTGGAAGATACTGTGCGTCACATACAGTAGCTAGTAGTACGTAGCCGTTTTCAAGTGCCATTTTTCTAAACCTTGCTCAAATGTGCCAAACGGTGGTTCCAAATGCCCGAAATTCATTCCAACACTTCCTGCGTTCACGATAACCTACACCGTTAGCACAAATTTGTAACAACAAAGTGCTACACGTTGCTGACATAAGTAACTACAGTCATGTATATGTACAATGTAACGTATTCGTGTATTTCCTCAACGCATGGCCCGCATCCTATTTTTATACAATCAGATACTTATCACAGGGTGAACGGCACTTGCGTGGTAGCACGCGAGAAGAATGAAAGGCAACATCAGGGAAATCCTCGCACACGCTCATTCAAACAAATGAACGAAGTCGTGATTACTTGGGGAGAAATGGGACTTACCAGGATCTTGAGCTACTCTGGTTGACGCAGGAGATTCGATATCGTTATCATCAAGTAGAAATCCCCCACAGGTATCTTGTTTCTCAACGGGGACTGCTGGTGCTGTTTTGGTAGGGTAGGGGCGAACAATCCTGGAGGAACGAAGTGCTCTTGCTCTCTCCTTGTTACGCGAAATCCTTTCCAGCTCTCGATCTGTCAGCTGGCGAGAAGCATTGCTCTCTGCCGTATTAGCATCCATTTGAACAACTAGGTAGTTGTGGGCTTGATCATACCTGCACCTGGTCTCTTCTTTCTTTGACTAACTGAACTCCAAAGTCTGAAGTGAAGACAGACACTGTGACACGATCGATCCATCTCTCCCGATCCCACATGCTCAGGACAGTCAGGAGTCAGGTTTGAAAATGATGCAAATACGTCACCTGATCCAACAAACACGTCATTTGCTCCTGAAAGATCTCGTATTCCCCACTTATTTCTCCGTGAATTTTGTTTTTGGGAGGATAGCTTACGGTTTATCAGAGTACCTCCTTGACAACACCTCGAATTTTGAATTTTCTGCATTCCTGAATCACCGCCATTTTGTAGTTCAGGTTTTCTACGGAAATCGCCGCCGAGCTCGAGTCTGCTCCGTGCACGAAGATGAAGCTTCGAAGAGTGCTCGACTTGAAAATCTACACTGACTGTACCGGTTTATGTACGTGGACGTCTGTGCTTCTGCTTCAGCATTTCAGTTTTAGTAACGTTTCTGTGGTGTCTCGGCGATGTTCGGCCGTTCTTAGTCTATGTTTTCACTTTCATGAGTGAAGTGCTGGGAGACTCGTGCGAGCGCTGGAGTTAAGGAAGAGGTTGGTGGCCTCGAGTTCCTGGCCTCCATAATGTCGTGCTGCTTGTCAGCCGAAGCGGCGGAGCAGAGGAGAATAAACCAGCTCATTGAGAAGGAGCTGAAAAAAGATAGAAAGCAAGCTCGAAGGGAACTCAAGTTGCTGTTGTTAGGTGAGAGAAGCCTTTCCGAGTTTATGCTCAAGGTCTTTTCTGAGGTATTAAGTGGATTGACTTCTTGCTGCCTGCAGGAACTGGTGAATCTGGCAAGAGCACCTTTATAAAACAAATGCGAATCATCCATGGTAATGGCTACAGCGAATCAGATCGTAAAAGTTTCAAAAAGTTAGTGTTCCAGAATATCTACACGGCCATGCACGCCCTACTCAATGGTATGGATGCGCTACACATACCATTCACCGACGAAAGCAATAAGGTAAGTCGAAATTGTGTGCTGATTTTCCGTTTGTTCGTGTATGACTTCGAGTTGTCGTGTATTACTCAAGTTCGAAGTTGATTCTCAAGAAACTGTCTTGTACCGGGTATTCTACAACCCCTTTCCTCCGTAGGAACGTGCCACGCACGTATTACGTTTGGAGCCTGATTTGGTGGAGTCTCTTGACCAACTGGATTTGCTACGAACGCTATGGAGTGATCCTGGTATGCAGACATGCTACGAGCGGCGGAGAGAGTTCCAGCTGACGGATTCAGCGAAATAGTGAGTATTCACTGAGAATATATTTTCATATTCGTATTTGGGAGAGCAGCTGGAGCAACAGCTAGCTGTCACCTTCTTTTATGTGTGCTTGGAATTGGGCAGAACAGTCGTAGTGTCTCCGAATCTTGCCTGATCACCTGTTCGTTTTGAAAATGTTTCTCTCTCTTTTTTTTCGGCGAGTGTCAATGTGAACGGCGTTCCCTGTGAGGGGAGTTGACCGCTTTTCATGTGAGGTGTCATTTGGTTGAGACGACTCAGGCCTGCGACGTCTGTGGCCCCATGAGTGGCAGATGCTTGTATTGCTCAACGTGCGACTCTGATTCCTAGCTCTTCCAGAGAGAAGAAACGCAGCAGCAATCTTGCCTTGTTGTGCGTGAAAGGTTCGCTGCGTCATGCGAAAGTGTGGTCGATGTCGTCAGTGCGTGACTGAAGCACCGTGCGGTGGAAGTATGGCACTAGTACTAGTACTAGAAGTAGAAGTATTGCTTCGAACAGCCGAGTAACCCTGTGCCCACGCTCGAAACGTGCGAATGATCGAGCGTCCGTTGCCAGTTCACGTACAAATTTCAATATGCCTCGCAAACATTTTCTATTCCGAGTTCGTGCATAGTTGATTGTATGGCGTTTTCTCAATCTCGTGCGCTGTCTGTGTGGCTGTGCAATGTATTGTTGCGTGATAAGTGTAGTAAAATGTGGCGAAGTAGCAGTGATAAGTGTGAAAAACTGAGCTGGAAAGATCCCCTGGTATTTTGTGGGGCATGTGTATGACAAAAGTTCTGATTGATCACAATTTCTATGTGTGCTGTGGTGGCCTGCTCGCCAATCCACCCCCTCTTGGTATGTGGGTGTATGGAAGCTGAGTATGTCCCTGAAATGTGCATTTTGCTTTGTATGCTATTTCTCTTTTTCTCTCTCTCTCTCTCCCTAGTTATTTGGACGCCCTGGAACGCATCGGCGCACGGGACTACCTGCCTGACACTCAGGATGTATTGCGTGTCCGTGTGCCTACAACTGGCATTATTGAATATCCATTCAACCTTGACAAAGTCGTTTTTCGGTAAGTTCTTTTTATACTCACATCATTGTCAAGGCTTTGCTACCGAGCGTTCTCGGTTTCCTGTTTCTGCTATACTAGTACATCTCAATGATCAAATACAGTCAAACCTCGTCAGGACGAACTGCAAGGGATTGAACAAGTTTGTTTGTCTTATCCCGGAGTTCTTCTTATCCAGATCTGACAAAAAAAATGATATGCATATCATATGGATTGTATTTACATGTATGTGAAGGTGAATGCTATGGCACATGTAAAGCACTTATTCATAGCATAAGCCAGCAACAGGTATTAAAGTACAATGTGCAATGAATTCATGACAGCATGTCCTCCGCCTTGTAACGTGCTGTCAATTCCTTTTGCCCGTACAAGAGGCCTCGACTATCGGACAAAAACTACAGCCAGTGCACGCACGTGGATCGAAGCTCGTACTACACGCTGATTTTGTTCAAATCACGCTTGAAATTAGCTCATCTTCACGAAAGTTCGCAGTACAGGAGTTCGTCATAAACGAACAATTTTGACTTGATATGATGCCTGGCCAACCATAGGATTGGCCCTAGTTTGTACTAATGGAAAGTTCGCCATATCAGTGTTCGTCCTAAAGAGGTTTGACTGTAATAATTGTCTTCTGTTCTGAAGATTCAGTGTGAAGTCCCGTCTATTTATTGGTGTTATTTATCGCAATCTGTGATTCTGTGCTCTCTTGCTCTACCCAATTGCCAATCTCTCCTTCTCACACCTTGCAAGCGTGCGGTCGCATGTGTGCGTGCGCCCGTGTGTGTGTGTATCCGTTTCACTGTTCTCTTCATCTACTCTCCTGTCCCACTGTTCTCGAGTGTACACTGACTGACTGGATGTTCTCGCTGTGCTGCAGGATGGTGGATGTCGGCGGGCAGAGATCAGAACGGCGGAAGTGGATCCACTGTTTCGAGAATGTGACATCAACTATTTTCTTAGTGGCACTGAGCGAGTATGACCAGGTCCTCGTCGAGTCAGAAGACCAGGTGAGTGCTCCTTTCTCCTCTAGATTGTGTGTGTGTGCTTACGTATCATCAGTATGGCAGTAAGTGATTCTTGACTTGAACCCCAGCTGGCAGTCTGTAATGTGCACTGAGCAGAAATCCCTGTTTCATTTCAGCTTGTCTATTTCCGATGTGGATTTGAGAGTAGTGGTTGGTGGTAAGGCCGTCTTGGTTCCATGCCCAGCAGTGCATCCGGTGCGACACTTTGCACGGCAGCACTGTACTGTTGCATGTACTGGTGCATACGGGGGATGTCTTCGTACTGTGCAAGTGATAATGAGGGTGGCCAAACTGCAGTCGGTGGCATGTGTGGGGAACTCGTCCGCAGAGCAGCTAACCAAAAATAAGTTGGGCAGGTGCGGCATCAACTGGACATTCTGCACATGTGTAATGTGCTACCTGTACAGTGCTGCTCGATGAAATCCAGTCGCGTCACTCGAGTTAGCGCCGTGCATCGTTTCGCAGGCTAGTGTTCGCAGGTCTACGGCTGCACAACGCCCAGGCGCGTACTTGAGCGACACGACTGGATTTCATTGAGCAGCACAGTACTTGCCGGCCACCTTGCTCCTGCTTGCGATGATCTTGGCCAAAATTGGATGCAATCATCAGTCCCAAGTCGCCCGATGTTAGCATGATCGTGTAGACTACATACAGTGTAGATGAAACATGCCACTACCCTTTTCTCTGGGTCAACATTTTGCTCGCCCGGAACAGTCAGAGTGCAGCATGGAAAATTGGAAATGACGCAACTGTGATAGGCTTCAGTTCTGTGTATTTGATCCTCGACTGCCGTCATTGGATTGATTCCAAGGCGTGCTGCGCGCCAGTTGATGTGTTGTTGTGCAGGCTTCTGCTCCTCAGCTTCAGTTGTGTTCATCAGTGTGTCTTCATGACGGGTTTCACCAAGAGTGCAAAGGCCAGGGCGTGCGACTCCTTTATGGTTTCAAGCCCGTGGACTTCGGCGTTGTTTACGTCATTTTTTACATCAGATGCCGTAAAGCTTGTTCCACTGGTTGTGCTGATGCAGCAGAGGGCTGCATTTTTGGACTGTGGCTTTTGAGACTCATAGAAAATGACGTAAATACGAGTTCTGCCCCCACCCCATGCCGGGCTGCGCAGTCTGATGTGCTCTTGGTGATACCACGAGTACATACATAGCATCTTCCTCCTCATCCTCCTTTCCCCATGCACACACACACCCACACACAGTCACATAGGGTGTGCAATTCCGTTGATTCTCTTGGATTGGCAGAATCTGTGGAAAACGTATTTGAAAACCGTGCATACCTTACACTCATCTCGTGGCAATGCCATCCGCAATTTTTTCTTGCCGATCCAGGAATGTATTGGCGCTGTGCACTCCGGAAAGGGGAGAGGAGGTACCATTAGTTTCAAACGTTGCATTTCATGCCCCTCATACTCTTGGATCTTGTCCAGATGTTCTGCCACTGGCTGAAATATGCCCGAGACCCCGCCCCCTCTCTCTCTCTTGTATCTCCATGCCCTCACTCTACAGGCCTTGGGTTAACAAACCGGCATACTTTTAGTGTCGCAGGAACACCCCGAACAATTCCCTGTGAAATCATGTTGTGTTATGATGGTCTCCTGTTGCTATCATTCTTTTTCTTCTACTGCTGCAGAATCGCATGGAAGAAAGCAAGGCCTTGTTCAGGACAATAATCACATACCCGTGGTTTCAGAACTCGTCAGTGATTCTCTTCCTCAACAAGAAAGACTTGCTAGAAGATAAGATCCAGTCGTCAGATTTAGCCGACTACTTTCCCGAGTTTGTCGGTGAGTTCTGGCTCTCTTTCTTCTCTCCCACCACTTTTATCGTTTTGTTAGTTTTACCCGTGATTGTGGGTGGTGGTGATGGTGATAACGAGGGAAATTGAGCGGAGCATAAGCATGCTCGATCATCATAAACAACGCGGCAGGGAAAGAATAAAAAGGGACAAGCATACACGCACAAGAATAGCAGACTGCGTGAATCAACAAGTTATTGAAGTCTTCTAAATCTCTACTTCTTGGTACGAGCTGCTTGTGATTCGTGAAACTCGGCCTGGAACTGCAGGAAACGCATATTTCCTTTCGGCTATTTTCGGCCTGCGCCTTCTAGGCCTAAGTTTCCAGAATGGTATTGATCTCTTCACAATATTAAGAGTCCTGAGAAAAGTACCATACTCGTGCAATTAGTGCCTCTGGGGCACTATTTTTTTTCAATCTCCATCACAGATGGGGCACTATTCAAGAGAGGGCACTGTTTTTTCAATGCTGTTACATTTACGTCATCCCGCATAAAAACGACGAAGAAGGTGAAGAAAAACAGAGCCGAAAGTTAACTGCAAGCTATCACGGCTCAACGGAAGGGCAACCAGAACTGCGATTTTGATCCTGAAACCACCAGCTCAATGACATGGACAAGAACGTTACCAAAAGAACACTCCAAACTTGCACATGCGCTTGGTTACAAGCCGGGGGGGGGGGGGGGCTTAGTTTTTTCACTGGCCCTTCAATAGAGATTGGGGCACTATTCGAGAGAGGACTCTAATCACGCGAGTACGGTATGCTGTTCGACAGATGGTTATAGTCGTCAACTATACATTGCGGTACGTAGACAATTATACACCGGTTTGTAACTCTGTCGAAACAGTAACTAATTCTCCCTTATGATACACCTTTGGAAAGGTCTTACTCTCAGCTTTCCAGCGATATGAAGATCATCGTGACAGGTCAAAATGTCCTGGTAGATTACTGCGACATAGAAAACGGTGAGGTGAAACGCAAGTCTTCACAAGTTTGTAAACCAGCTTTAGTCCCTAGCGAATCTATCCCAAGGTCATAGCACAGCTGGGCAAGTCAAAGAATTTGCACTATCCCCCATTCCACTCTTCTTGCTCATATTAAGCTCTTTGGCTTTTCTGTACACTCCCACGAGTTCACTGCTCAATTTGAACTGAGATTGTCATGGCACCAAGCGGCAGAACGTGTACAGGAATGGAAATTCAAATGCCCACGCGTTGCGCCCATGGAACTGTGTGTCCGTCGAGTGCCATAACTCAACAATCTTTGATGTTATCACTTCGACGATTGTTGCAATCGCAAGCTGAGAGTTTTCTCTTCCACTTACACATTTCAATTGTGAGAATCGAGTAGGCATTGGGTAGGGTACAATTGTTTGAACATACACGCGTCCTGTAAATTATCATCAGTGAGCGATGTACACTCAGGACATTACAAAACATAATGTAGTAGTGCGGGCTCATCTAGAATCGCATGATAGTGTGGGCTCAGCAGGGAATGGGTTGGGCGTACTGCAGTCTTCACAGCCGCCAAAGGGTGACTTTGTTGTCCGCAATGAGAGGTAGAAGTGCGTGACCTTCACCACGCCCTTCTCGACTGAAAGAAAACACAAAGAACTCGTGTGCCTACTGGACTACTGTAATTCAACAGATATTCAGCGCATACTTCTTTTCTTTTCGGCTTTTTTCGGCCTGAGCCTTCGAGGCCTAAATTCTGCTTCGGCCGAAATATCATTTTGCACTACGGGACGGAGTATACAGGCAGGGGCAGTATGGGCTGAAATTTTTATGTGACCAACAAATTATTTAGGGCATGTTCGTCTGGGGTGGTCTGCATTGATCTGAGAGCAGAGCAGAATTTCCTACGGTCACGTTCAGACTACTGATAAAGAAATGGGAAAGTTTCCAAGGTGATTTTATCACGTGACGTTACAGGCCTTTGCAGGCGGGAAAGGTTTACTGCTCTGGCTGGCCGGAGGAAAGAGCATTCTGGCAGTAGAAAAAGGTGCTCTCTGGGGAGCTCCCTTCTCGGTGCCGTGGTCAGAGCTGCACAAGTAACATTAGTTTATCGGTAGTACGAATGTCGTTCACGGTTAGATGGGGTTCTCGGTTGTCTGAACGCACCCTTAATACCAATGGTGCCAGGTTATAAAGGGGCCGCTGTACCTCTCCGGCCCTTTTATTTTTGGACTACATCTCTGTAATTTAGTGTACGACGTGTTCCCTTGATTGTCTCTAACGTTCACTGCTGTATGTGTGTGTGTTTGTGGGTGGGTGGGTGAATGCGAATGTCGTGTTTGCGTAGGTCCTCGGCGAGATGCCACTGCCGCACGGGAGTTTATTCTCCGTATGTTCGCTGAACTGAACCCGGACCCGGAAAAGACGATCTACCCGCATTTCACCTGCGCTACCGACACTGAGAATATCCGATTTGTCTTTGCGGCGGTGAAGGACACCATCCTGCAGCTCAATTTAAAGGAATACAACCTCGTATAGGCCGCAATGCTGTGCACGAAGGACCTGCATGATCTCTTGTGTGTGTGTGTGCGAACCAGCCAGGTGGTAGTTGGCACTGCTACGGCCATCCTCCCGGTGGTGGGCATCTCCTGATACGGCCGCCGCGTTCTTCGCTTGCGTGCTCAAGGTAGCTGAGAAGACTGTGTACTAACGGGTCATTATATCTCCTCCGCGTATGCTCGTAATGCACTCTCATCTATTGTATGGCCCCGTCCGCTGAAGCACCAACGCCATCGCGTCCATGACCCGCCCTCTTCTCCGGTTCCCTCTGTCTCTCGTGTGTGTGTGCGTGCGTGTCCACTCAGCTACATGTCAGAGCAGTCTCTGCAGGTACTGAGATATCTGGGGAGAAGGAGATTGTTGCTTGTATATGTGTGCTCATCTCCTACGCTTGGACGGCATGGCTGCTGCAGTCTGGTCTGCTTGCTGTTGTAAAGTCTTGTCCGCTTGGCATCCCCTTCCCTTTCTCCCTCCATACCTTCATGGCTGTACATTACTCTTCCTCCTGCCGCTGTTGCTGCTGCCCGCGCCACCTCCGCTGCCGCCGTGCTACCCGTTAACCGGAGCAACTGGCTGATATTGGGGCAATGGTGGTTTCGGCGAGAAGTCGTGTCACCGCTGTGCATGCTACTGACGTGGCGTGGTGTCTTCACGAAGCTGGACTGTCCGGTCGCCACCGCCGCCGCTCTGCCAATGCTGCTGCTGTTGTCACTGTCCTCCACCTCCTCAGCCTCTCTGCTACTGTTATTCATATCGTCAATCTAGTTGAGTTCTTCTTCCTCTTCTCCAGCATCACCACCAGCAGCATCAACAACAGCTACAACATCAGCATCCCACTGCCCCCCTCATGATACACCATGATAATCATCAACCTCATCTCATCATTATAGTGATCATCAACCGTAGCCCTCTTGCTGCATTCGCCTTTTTTCATAATTTTTTATCAATATAACGATATGCCATACATGTATCACTTTGTGCATGCTCACGACCCTCTTTGTCCTCGTTATTAACCTTTGTTTTTTATGACATTGACCCGTCCGTCGTCCAGCTGTCGTAGTCCTAAAGGCCCCGGTTCTATCGGTAGTTATAGAGATATTTTCTTCAGGCAAGTATGCATCTCTTCCCATCATCTTTATTTCTTCTTTTTCTTTCTTTTCTCTTTCTCTCTCCTTTTTTTCTTTTTTTTACTATTTCTCTTCCTCGCATATGGGAGTGGCGAGAGCATATGGGAGTCAGTTGACTGGAGGTTGCGTGTTCGTTTAATTTTGTCTATACCGTACCGTGCATTCGTTTCTGTCTGTGCGTCGGCTCGTCTCACTCGTACCTCTGTTGTTTTTGTTTTTTTTTCTCGTGAACCTCATCAGACATGTGTTCTCTCCCCTGTGTATGTGTATCGTATGCACACTTGGCCGTGTTGTCTCTCCACTTGTAGGTAGGTGATGTAGATATTTATCAACGGGTGTACATCTCTTGCTTCATACTCTTCATATGATGACCTGGCACATGAAACGCAATAGAACAAACATCGAGTTGTAAAAGTTGTAAACTGATCATTCATAGCCTGTTGGTGCTCTGTCGGTCGGGTGTTTGCGATGCGTCGCTGCCATGCCTGTGTGTGTACGTGTGTGTCACCGCACTGTGCGGTTGTGTTGTTCACGGCTTCAAGCTCACTAAGGATATTGTCTACAGTACATAGTCCTCGGGGTTATAATTCTTGATGCTGTTGCCACACGGAATCAGATAAGTAGTACAATGCAGTGTGGTCTTGACACGAGATCGTGTGGGGCTACTACTCTAGGGTGACGACATTTAATTGACCATACACGATTGTGCCCGAACTGATTTGCGTTTCGACCCTCGGATTTGGAAGTTACCTGCTGCTGAATCCAACACACGGTCAAGACCAGCAACCATGATACACCGGTGAAGTGTGTATAACCCCCCCCCCCCCCAAAAAAGAAAAGTTAAAAAAGGCTCTGTGATCCACTTGAAACAACACCACCAGCACACACACACGTACACACACACAGATCCCATGCCTTGGTTTGTACGAATTCCTGACCCTGGTAACAGGTTCATGTGGTCGCAAGACCGGGGCTCTACCTGCCTGTCCTACATGCATAAAACACCGAGACAGCAATAGGAGAAGGTGCTGAATCTTGATACTACAGTACTGAGATAAGATCAGGAATCGCACAATCGGGCTTTTACAGCTTCCCGATAAGACGTGTTGCACCGATCCGGAGAATCTATGTGAGACTGTCACCAGAATAACTGGTGACAAGGTGTCAAGCCCTGAGCCATAAAACCCTTCATTTTACTGGGTTTGCTGCTGTCAAGTAACAGCACACTTTGTCTTATCCCATACATGTGATGGAGAGATCAAGACAGTTCATTTAGTGATCAACTGTCTTCTGCAAAGCGAGCTCTGCCGGCTGATACCTTGGCAAGGATGATGATATGTTGTCAGATTCCTTGCATTTCTGCAAGTGATTGTGTGCCCATGCAGAGGCCCTGCGACAAAATACTTCAGTCATAAAGACTTAGACTCATAATGATTATCGATGCGCATGCGGGCAGCCCCGGAAATGATTGGAGTCACATTAGAGAGGTTCCGGGGTACGATTTTCCGTGCCAAAATCCGTGTGGGCGCTACGGATTTTTTCCAGGCGTGCTCCATACGATTTTTCGGCACGGAGAATCCGTGTGGACTGGCTTTCACACGAACCATGTTTCGTATGGAGATTTTGCGTCATCGGGTGCAGAAAGATTTTTCGCGTACAAATTTGGTACGAGAAACATGGATTTTCCGCGGGAAGTTTTGATTTCGGTACAAATTTTCAAAAAAAAAAGGCATAGCGCGGGAATGTGACGTATTTGCGATCGTAACCTAGGCAATGACGGCAAACACATAAGTTCCGTACTCCGGAACATTTTACTGCTCGAAAACGACGTATACAAAATCCGTAGCGCCTCTACGGATTTTGGCACGAAAAATCGTACTCCGGAACCTCCCTAATGTCATGACTACTGCATGTAGTACTGTTGCCTGGATAGTACAGGCAGTGCTGATCGGGCGAGTCAACACCACACAGGCAATGCCAACGGTACAGCACGTACAGGACTGGTAGACTGCAGCACTCTAGCATCAACGTGTACCGTTATATCACTCGAGATAATTTGCCATCTTTAGGGTTATCAGTTCAAGCAGAAAAGAATTCAAAAGATTCCTCTCAAGCAAGAGCAATGGAGCGCAATCGTCATGCCCTGCAGTGGACGCACAGACCAGATACCAATATATGCAGGTAGTGCGAACGGTGCCAGCCCGTAAAATTATGGCACAGCAAAACAGAAGAAGATCAGGGAAGTATAGTGACAAGAGTGCATTTGCACTCTTGATGGCGAGTATGATGCGCTTGTAGTACATGGGTGATCATGGTATTTCGGCAAAAGAATATTGATGCAAGCCAGGTGATATGGCAGAGATGAGTTCCAGCACGCAGACCAAAAGAGGTTTCTCATTGACAAGCACCATGGCTCCCAAGAAGACTACTAGTATAGTAAGATTGTGTAGTTTGTTATCCTGTGGTAGGGATGATACTGAAATAGGAGCTGCAGCGATAGCCAGACACAAACACACACACAAACACACCACACATGCACGCGCGCGCGCACACACACACACACACACACACACACACACACACACAAACACACACACATGTCACAAGACGGTACGACAACGACCCTGGGCCAGCAGGGCTGCAAATGACAATAGTGGAACATCAGTCAGCGGGGCTCCATGCAGGTACACACACGTACACACGTACACCCACCACACACACACACACACACACACACACACACACACACACACACACACACACACACACACACACACACACATCTCTCTCTCACTCAGGCTCAATGGCTACTAATAAGTCAGAGCTAATGCGGAGGTCTCCGATCTCTACCATCCTGAAGGGAGAGTCGGTCGTCCGCAGACTGCACTGGTAAAGATTTGATTTCCTTTAGGGCATCACTACCCCACGGAATCAGCACACTGGATGCGTCACTGTCCGCCAGACTTTGATCCTCAGCACTGAAGGCATCCTGCTCTGGCTCTTGCCAGCGAGCGTCTTCTTCACGGTCAATATCGGTTTCCGAGCCGTCCGTCCCATGTTCCACGTTCGACTCGGCATCAGATGGCAGGAAATACTCGTAGGACCCTGGAAGCGGCAGTCGTGTCTGCCCCGCGATTCCACCGCCAAGCTGTTTCTTCTTGTCGACAGTGTAGCCACCGGCAGTGAGGTGGCCAGCGTACAGATCATAGCCGCTGGCACCACGCGTCGCGTCCGTAAGGAGCCTGGGCAGCTTCGGGTCGGAGAGCATCTTGTGACGAGTGGGTCCCGGCAGGGCGTAACCGCCCAGGCCTGCACTATCGGGCAGCAGGGCCCGGTTGTGCTCGTACACGGCACCCTTCTGAGCTACCTCGCCCATTATCGAGTTCAGTTCCTGGCGGTCTTTCTCCAGTGCAAACTGCATGACGTCATCTGGGTCGTCCACGTTTAGGCACTTCCGTTCGTCTGCTTCTGCCCGTGCAACCGCCATGTCCATGTGGGCCACAAGCTCATGCAGTCGAGACTGGAGTGGCTTCTGGCTTCGTTTCTTGCTCTCGCCATCGGAGCTGCTGGCCCCACGCGTTCTTACGGGCCTCCTAGCTGGGACAGGCGTCTTGTCAGAATGCGATGCACGGAAACTGCCACCCACTGCTGTGTGTGAGTCTCTGCGGCTAAAAAATGCGGACGGCTCGGTGTCCGCGGATGGTGCAGGTGCTGCTGCCGGAAACGGCCTAGTTGCAGCAGAGACGGCATGCTGTCCGGTTGATATCAGCTCGTCCTGTTTGGCGACAAGGCTACAGATGTCCTGCCACACCGTTGCAGGGTCGTCCATCAGCTCACTTGCCGGCACCGCCACGGGATGATAGCCATTCATTCTCAGCACGAGGAGAAGAACGGAAAAGCCGCCCGTCACCAGCCGCTTTGCGCGCGTATCGGCTTCGTCCGCGTCACCGCGCACCACGGTCACCAGCCGATCGTCGTTCACTGGAATCACGACGCACGGTATGGCACCGCTCGCGCGAATGGCCCTACCGCAGGACAGGTTTCCGGTGAAGTCGCTCAGCGGCATGGCATTGAGTGCGTTACTGCTGCTGCCGTCCTTGAGCAGCAGGACTAGACCGGGCAGAGATACACCCTGACTGTGCTGGCGCACACTTCTTGCCACTTTATCATTGCCGAGCAGCTCAGTTAGCTTTGCCAGAGCATCGCCACTGACGCCGGTCTGAAAGCGACCACCACTCCGCAACTTGTCACGCAGCAGCGCGCCAAACGCCTCTGGAAGCTGATAGCCTGCCGACGACAACAACCAGTGCAGTTCCTGCAGAGCGATCACGGCAGAGCCGGGCATGTGATTGAAGAACGTGCCCGAGCCGACTGCCAACTGGCCGAGCTGGTTGGCAATGGCTTCCACTGGCAGTTTACAGGCTGCCATGCACCAGACAAACAGTACCTTCTTAAACTTGGGCAGGCAAGCTATATCCACGTTCATATTGTCCATCTGTGAGCTAACCCAATCCAAGTCGAGCATTCGCGTCACGACTAACATGTGAAGCAGAGCGGCGAACGGCTCGATCACTTGGTCTTCGTTCATACTCACGCGCTCCTCCATCTGACTGACTAGAGCTCCGATCAGCGCCTCGTGCCGCAGTCGCAGCCGCTGTAGCTTCAACATCAGCACGCCTTGCTCGCCCGGCGTTGCTGCGGAGAAGGACTTCGCCAGCGAGCCCGACTTCTCCGATAGCAGGCGCAGTGCAGAGGCGTACAGCTGCTGCGTGTCACTGTTCTCGCTGGCGTGAAGCAGCACGCTGCACAACGCAGCCACGCCACGCGGCTCCAGTGCCTTGTACCCAAGCGCCGCACGGCTGACAAGCTCCTCGACCAGTCTACCAGTGGACGTCCAGGGCAAGTCGAGACGGAATATGGCCTCGGCCATCATCACGCTCTCGTTTGCCGCAAACTCGTGAACACGAGTGGGCACGCTGGAGAGCACCGACAGCGCTACACGCACTCGCGCATCGCACTCGTCCGCGCGGCACAGCGTCTGCAGGAGATGCATCACGCCCTGTGCCGGGTACCTGCCCACTTGGCAGCCAGCGTGCTTCTTCTCGATGCCCGCCTGCAGCGCAACGAGGCAAGACTCCGGCAGCCGGTCCAGCGACGACAGATACGCCAGCACGACGCGCACGGTGAATGGATTTAGTTCGGCCACGTTCATCGTGAATGCGTCCCGCAGCAACTTGCTCAGCAAGCGTATCTTGAACGCCTTGGCTCCCAGCGCCAAGTACTCCAGGACACGCGACTGCAGCGATCCCGGCTCGCTGTCCTTCACCGACTCGCAGATGCGCATCGCCTCGGATTTACGGACTGGCACCAGCTTCTTGGCGCCAGCGGCCAGCATCCAAGCTTGAATTCGCACATCGTGCGGCATGTCCTGGGCTAGTCGGTACACTTTGGACATGATCTTGCCTACAGCTTCATGCACGCCAGTGCCACGTGCATCAAACGTGTACAGTGCATCCAGCAGCAGGAACAGTCCGCGCTCTCGAACCAAATCCATCTGCGGGAAGAAGCGGCGATGGAAGGCGTCGAACGCACGCTCCGCGGTGCGGCCACCGATCAAACTACATGAGTACAAGATGAAAAGTGCTTGCTCCATGCTATTTGTATTCACTGCTACCTCGTCCATGTACGAAAGCAGAGAACTGCACAGGTTTGCCCGCAGCTGTGCATCGCAACTTTCCAAGCCACGCGCTGTGCGGATGATCAGCTTGCACGCCACAAATCGAGCCTCCCGCGCATCTTCAACTTTCATTTCTTTCAGTGCAATAGCAGTTGAATGCATCAGCGGCATTAATCCTTCCAGGGGCAGCGTTTCCACAGCATGCTGGCCAGATTCGTTGAATTTCCTCTGAGAGGGAGTGAGCGTGGAATTGAATTTCTTCTGGCACTGGGCGGGTGTGATCCGCGGCGCAAGACGTCCATATTGGCAATGCCGCACAGCCAACCGACATGCCAGCGTCTGGGCCATGATCACTGCAAACACTCTCCTAATCAAGGTGACTTGCTGTTGATTGCCATCATAAACAATACCAGTGTTATCAAGAGTCCATAGACATAATGCACTCTTGGTGTACAACTGTGTATTATTATACAGCATTGAAAAGCAGGTTTTCGTGTTGTGGATCGATTTTTCTTTTAAAATGAAGCGACGTTCCGTAATGCCCACTTTTATGACCGCGTGGAGCACTAAGCACGTGATATTGCCCCCGCCCGCCGTATACCGTACCCATGCCCCGCCTCCCCCCCCCCCCCGGCCCCATGCTCGAAATATCGAGACTTTGGGCTGTTAAGTGATGACGTCACAGTTCCTTCGATACGCATAACAACGATCCCACTGGGGACAAACAAAAGTAGCGTCGTCTCCACCGAACCAGTTGTCAGTGGCAACATCAGGGAGTCGTACTCAAACTAGGGAGGTGACACGGCACAGAAATTCGTGTCACAGGGGTTGACTCGCACCCTTGACCCCTCGTTGTTATTTTTGGAATAGTTCAGTCCAGTCCAGTCCGTAAGTCCAAAAGATCAAACGCGAATCCTATCCTTCTATCTCCAAGCATTATGTGTCTTGTTCTTGAAATACTGCTGTAGAAATTGTTTTTGAGGAGGCAACTTCATGTTGTGGAGAGATTGCAACAGTATTCTTCGAAAGATTGGCAGCTGATTTTGTTTTTGACCTCCTGCCATGTCCGAACTTCTTGACAGCAGTGGAAATAATGACGATGGTGATGTAACTGCTGCAGGAAACGTCCCGGAAAGGTCAATGCTACTATACTAGCTGTTTATGTCGACACGACGACAGTACGGTATGACGAAATGTACAATGTACCTTGAGCCGGGCCTCTCTTATGGAACCGAACCTCAGCTAAAAATGGTTTATTCAGGAAGACTAGGGCAGTGTGCAAGTGATAGAGAAGAAACGGGGCTGATACACGACTTACAATTTTCAAAATCCGACTTTGCGTCTTGTGTGATTTTGGGTCGAATTTGTGCTATTTCAACACGACAATACGACTGGCTGGACTTCTCTTATATGCCACTTAACCCCTGTTGGAAATGTGTTTTTCAGGTAGACTAGGGCAGTGTGCAAGTGATAGAGAAGAAACGGGGCTGATACACGACTTACAATTTTCAAAATCCGACTTTGCGTCTTGTGTGATTTTGGGTCGAATTTGTGCTATTTCAACACGACAATACGACTGGCTGGACTTCTCTTATATGCCACTTAACCCCTGTTGGAAATGTGTTTTTCAGGTAGACTAGGGCAGTGTGCAAGTGATAGAGAAGAAACGGGGCTGATACACGACTTACAATTTTCAAAATCCGACTTTGCGTCTTGTGTGATTTTGGGTCGAATTTGTGCTATTTCAACACGACAATACGACTGGCTGTACTTCTCTTATATGCCACTTAACCCCTGTTGGAAATGTGTTTTTCAGGCAGACTAGGGCAGTGTGCAAGTGATAGAGAAGAAACGGGGCTGATACACGACTTACAATTTTCAAAATCCGACTTTGCGTCTTGTGTGATTTTGGGTCGAATTTGTGCTATTTGGATAAACTTCAGTGTGCGACCACCTCTGAAAACTATGTTGGGTAGGTTGTTAGTTGTGCAACTCATCAATTTAATGATAATGCACTGGTTGTGCTTGTGTAAGAACCCATCGTTTCCTTTTTTAAATAAGTTGCGACATGTACTTCACAATGTACCATAATTCCCCCCTCCTGCAGATTGCTTCGCAAGCGGAAATGCGACATGCCTCTACTTGAGTCACCAGGGAAGGTTCCATGTGAGAAGCCACATACCCATGGTGAGCCAACTGATGGTGAGTTAAATTTAAAAACATGCGTACATTCTTCCGTGGTCGATTGCCAGGGAGTTGGGTACGACTCCCTGCCGACTAATCATTGAGTAGTCTTTGAAAAAATCAGATACAATTGAATTCAAGTACATGTGCAATGCATTTACATGTAGGTAATGTTGCACTATTAAAGACGACTCCATAAGATTCAAAAACGCCTTGGAGACAACAATTTCATAATGGCTATAACATTGGAGAAAGATTAGTCGTGCCGTCATCGCGACACGCGAAAAAGTTCACTAAGGTCCAATTATAATAGAATTATGTCCTTCTGTGACAATAACCACTGGTGAAGTCACAAGAAAAAAGTCCCAGGTAACTATAATTGGACTTTGTTGAACTTTGGTGTGTTGCGATGATGCCGGAACTAATCAATATTGTTTCCTATTATTTTCTGTGTACATACATGTACAGGATCTTCAACTTCCTCCAATGGCAACCATCTGCATTCGGTATCAGCCCCACTTACGCCAATCACACGATATATCCGTTGTGGTGGCAGCCAAGCGCCAACACGACGGGAGATTATCCTGTATGGGTGCCTGCATACATTTGTTGGCAATCAGCCATTCCGGGCACGCCGCCACTGGAATGCGGATGTGGAAAGGGCGCTGCAGGCCGTCAACGCCATCGTGCCAGCAGAGGACAGAGTGGATGCCTACGCTCTATACTACTACCTTCACGCTGGCACGATGAGGGGAACCATGGGGAAGTACCTTGGTAAAGTACGCTGGCGGAAATTTGCCCCAGTCTGGAAGGATTTCCAAACAAGGTGCAAACCGGAGCTGAGCCGTGCAGGGTCATCATTGGATGAAGGCACAGATGTGCAAACCTGCCGTGCTGCTGCAAATGCTGCTATCATAGCTTGGCGCAGTGGTGGTGGTAGTGCTTCTTCAAGTGAAGTACCTCATCCAGTTGCACCCACACTCCCTTCAACACCCGTATTCCCACCAACACGTGCACCCACACCCACACTCCCTTCAACACCCGCACCCACACGTGCACTCCCTACAACACCCGCACTCCCTTCAACACCCGTATTCCCACCAACACGTGCACCCACACCCACACTCCATTCAACACCCGCACGTGCACTCCCGTCAACACCCGTATTCCCACCAGCACGTGCACTCCCTTCAACACCCGTATTCCCACCAACACACGCACCAGCACTCCCGTCAACACCCGCACCAGCACGTGCACTCTCGTCAACACCCGTATTCCCACCGGCACGTGCACTCCCTTCAACACCCGTATTCCCACCAACATGTGCACTCCCTGCAACACCAGCACTCTCACCAACACCCGCACTCACAGGAACACATGTGCTACCATCAACACACACAGCACTGAGTACTACAGTTCCGCAAACCACAGCGTCGAACACAACCATCTCAAGTGCAACCTTCTCTATCAAATCACTTTTCGAGTACATAATGGTGCGACCAACATTGGAATTTTCACTTTGGCATGTTACGGATGGCCAAGACAGCGTAATGCTGCAGTACCATGGAGGTAGTCCTACCCACGCAACCCGCTCCATCATAGTCCATAATCATCTTGCGTACGAGGTTTACATATTTGGAAAGAAAGTTGTTCAAGAATGGCAGCCATGTAAAATAAATAATATAGATGATATTAAATCAGTAATGGCAAAAGTAATATCAGCCAGAGTCTGCATTGGAAATTCCCACGCCCAAAACGAGGAATTGATGAAGAGCCGTCTCGATGGAGAAACGTTCCATGGCAAGGACGGCACTGTCACGGCAGTGCTAGAGGAGAGCTGGGTTCCTGGTCGGTGCATTCGCACATCTGTGTGCCCAATTGTGGTCGAGATTGACATTCAATGTGGGGCATGTAGCGTATTCTCGGCAACTCTAAGAAAGGCACGGTCGCGACAGTCTAACCGCACAGCCGAAGACCGAACTACAACAGCACATGCATTCCTCTCCCGTGCAGAGCTTTCTGGACGACTGCACGATTCGCAAGGACAAGTTCGCACCATGAAGAGACACATCTCCAGGCTGGAGGAACGCCAGGAGCGAATGGTAGAAGTGACTTGCACAATACACCAGTCTTCCTAAACAACACATTTCTAGCAGGGGTTAAGTACCATATAAGAGAAGTACAGCCAGTGATATTGTCATGTTGAAATACTACAATTTTGACACAAATTACACATAACACGAAGCCAGGTTTTGAAAAATATAAGTCGTGTATCTGCCCCATTTCTTCTTTATGACTTGCACAATGGTCCAGTCTGCCTAAATAACACATTTATAGCAGGGGTTATGTACCATATTAGAGAAGTACAGCCAATGATATTGTCATGTCTAAATACTACAATTTTGACACAAATTAGACATAACACGAAGCTGGTTTTTGAAAATTGTAAGTCGTGTATCTGCCCCATTTCTTCTTTATGACTTGCACAATACACCAGTCTTCCTAAACAACACATTTATAGCAGGGGTTAAGTACCATACAAGAGAGCTACATTGTACATCTAGTCATACTGTCATAAACAGCCAGCATTTTTCCTGCAGCAGTCACACCACCATCATCATTATTTCCAGGGAAATCCTCTTACATTGTCAGCTCCTACGTCGTTAGATACAATGTAGGGGGCTGTAGGACCGGCTCGTCAAAGATAGAGAACCTGAACAAGCGTGCTCGGGACGTCTCAGCAATCGTAGTATGCCTGAGCACTCCAATAAAAACTTGATCAATGGCAAAATCGTTCCCCACAGAAAAATCATACTTTGCGGGTCTCGCGTTGCACGCTTGGAGGTGAAGTACAGAAGGCGAGTCGATCCGAGTATGACCTTTCGGACTGGACTGGACTGAACTATTCCAAAAATAACAACGAGGGGTCACGGGTGCGAGTCAACCCCTGTGACACGGATTTCTGTGCCGTGTCACCTCCCTAGTTTGAGTACGACTCCCTGGGCAACATATAGAGGACTTTCCAATGAGTCATACCGTGCGGCCTATGAGGATTCGGGCCAAAGATCATCGAGTTCACCACCGATCACCGGACTTGAAACGGAGCTTGGGTGGCAAAAAAAGAAGACTGCACTGGAAGGAAACAGTGTTTTTCGAAAGCAGTTCCATTTTGCATACTGTAGTTTGAGAATACCAAAGGGCTGCTCGCGATCGAATGTTCCCACACCTGGATCGTCTTTGAGTTGTTATCGTTTTCCCTACGATGGAGAACGACGGAACCAGTGGATGACGGACACACGACTCGAGAACTTCGCTCCTGATGCAAATACTTCGAAGTACACGAATATTGTTCCATCGCTTCGTTGGCGAAGAGAAAAGTCATGATCATCCCCTGTCACCCCAGTACGTATCAAACTAACTAACCAACTTGTTCAGCTCATTTGTGGCAGCACCAGTAAAGGCGGAAACACGAAGATGATTCCGAACACTATCAACTTACTTAGTTTGTTGGGGTGCAAGGTATAGCTGGAGTTTGATGATTGATAGGGCTGATGCTGATGGTAATGACTATAATGTACCCAGCTCTATGCACGTACCTCTACATGACTGGTGGTGCTAGCTATTCTAGTACTGGCCCTGGGTGCAACTCATCATCTCTTCCATGCCAGTGTGTATGCCTCATGTTCTGCACAACGTGTATTTCCTTTGTCATGGATAAATACTCTGATCGACCTACTTGCGCAATCTTCTTCTGCTTCCCACTTGGTTGCTGCGCTGTGCAGTTCTTCATCTGCTGCGGCACATACTAGTATACCTCATATTCTGTCTTTCTGGTCCATGTATTCAGCTTCTTGATCTTCTTGTGGTGAGGATCATCTTGATCTTACTTCTTGTGTAACTCTTGCAAAGGCAGTAATGGAGGACACTCTACCGGTAATCAGCAACTGCTTATGGAGAATGCCAGGTCGAGGGACGACCAGGAAAAAAACAATTGCTGTATTGGATGTGCATTCATCAGCGTGTTTTAAGATCAGGACAACTAAGTTCGCCACTACACCAACTTTTTGGCTACATAGGAGCAATGATGATGATGGCCGTGTTTGACTTTGTCAGCTTTCGTGCTACCAGCCACCGCATGTCAACATTGTCATACTCGTACTGATAAGGAAGAAAAACCCACACACGCACGCACACACACGCACACACACACACACACACACACACACGGATACACTGACAGGCATGCAAAGCAAGAGAGACAGAGAGAGAGAGAGTCAGGCAGCGAAAGAGAAGTGAGACTACTTGTAGGTTATGGGCACGGTGCTCCAATTTCTGCCCAGCTGAAGTAAAATCCATGTACACTATTTTCGTGTAGTGTTCATTGACGGTGCCAGCCACTGGTGAGTGACCCAGTGGTACCATGGTGTAGGTGTTGACATTCAGCACACATCACATTTCAGTCTCCAACGTAAATTCAGTCAAAACAACACTGCACTGCAGCAACATGGGAACATGCTTCTCCCAGGCCCACCATGCAAGTGCAGTGTGCGCCAAAAACAATTCCAGGTAATTCAGCAGCTACCCAAGGATGGACAGGTTCGGCAAAAACACTCCGCGAGTGCCTGACGTTTGCAAACGTATTTTGTTGACAGTTGTTGTTTCTTCCTTCGATTGGGCAAGACACGATAATGTGCCAACCCAGCCAGCAATGAGACACATGCATTTGTATCCATCAGGGCTATTGTGAGACTTTAGAGAGTCCTTTGCATATGTGCTGGGGACATTCACTAAATATTTAGAGAGGCCTGGATACCCAACGCAGGGGGATTGGCTGAAAGGTCTTCGTCCATAGGTAAATATGGATCAATGTACTGGGCCCACGGATTCTGTCAATCTTCTCGCGGCAACGCCTCTTCAAGGCTGGAATAAACAGTAGAGTAACTACGGCTAGTAATCCTCGCGACTTACCGAAACTATTCACCACATCAAAGAAAAGCAAAAGTGCTTCACCACTGCGACGGCCTGCAACATCATTTTCAACCGTACACCGAACAACACATTTGATTCTCTTTTTGCCACCCAAGCACATTTTACGGACTTGTCTTATGGGTGATCTTTGGGTGGACACCGGGAAGGCGCCAAAAAGGTGATGTAATGGAAAGTCCTCTATAGGAATCGTGTACATTTCTTCGTTTCTTCTTTGCTGTTTTCAGTGAGTGTTTTGTTTTCTCTTTGTCCTTGATCTCGACGATGTTGTCGTGCTCATTACCTTACTGAGACGTCTCTTGTGACTGTAGCCAGTGTCACGGAAGATTTTATTGGCGTGACAAGGTAGATCGCCGAGATCGAGCGTGAAAAACGCTCTGCATTAGTAGCTCCTGTAGAATGTTTTCTGGGATGGCGTATCCATGGTCAACAAAACCAAGGTGCAAGACAGCATGAGAGATCGTGTAAACGATGTGAACTCCAAAAGGTAAGCTCCTGAACAAGTGGAAAGATATAGGTATTTACAAACTCTCTCTTCATCCATCGATTGCCGCTATGCATTGCATTTTGTCTTCACAGATAATCTGGCCAAATTTATTGTAACTAGAGAGTGCAATCGTGCTTGGGGCCCATCCCAATGTCATCACATGGCTGTGGTGACTAGTGTATATCTGGGAGAATTTTTCCTCGACTGATACGGAGTGCAGGTGGATCGATTATGAGAAATGCGAACATGTGAAGTAAGTAATTAGTTGTGTCGAACAAATGTGCAATAAAATAAAATTTACTTTACACTCAAACATACACTGTAGATGTACATGTAACATCATGATAATGATTCCATCTTCATTGTCCCGCAACTGGTACACCATACGCACCGTATACATGGTGTGTGTGTGCGCGCGCGCAAGCGCGCGCATGTACATGCACACACTCTCATGCGTGGCTGAGTCGGCCAGATGAACAGACCATGCATTTGCACGAGGTGTCCGTAATGTCATTGGAATGCTGTACTTTATGACTTTATTCCAAAAGAGTATGTCTTGCCCCTGACGAATGGAGTTGTGTCTGTGCTCAGCGGGTATCGGGCTATGAAGCAACACTGCAATCAGCGCTGCAATTAAAAGAGCACTGCATGGATTATTTTGACAAACTTCCTTTGCGTTTACTTGGTTGAGCCCGTGGTTTCATTTCTGTGTTCTGTCATGATTGGCCTCTGGAAATAATCAGAGTGGATGTCATTTTGCCATATATGTGTGCCTTGTGCGACAGGTTCAAGGCTAGATGCACTTCAAATTCGGCGTGCGATCTCAGCGTCTGGGACCTGATGAAGTCTTGGTTGGATGATTATTCAAGCCTGACACTACTCGACACACCAATGTACATGTCAATGTATTTTTTTCAGAGCTGCACTATTTACGTGTTGATGCTTACTTCGGTGTTAGCGTGTTTCCCCCGGATTGTTTCTATCATCATGACCGTGTGTTATTGGGCTGAGCGAGCACATGCACAAGTGTGCAGCTATAACCCTGTGTATCTTTGGTTACACTTTGTTCTGCAATGCATGTACCTTGTAACGTTATGTGCTTGCACTGATTTGTCTGGCCTGCGTATTTCAAGACTATTCAGTGCATTAGACCCAGGTTTGTTTGGTTGCCGGATGATCTCTTGTTGCGTCGCTCTGTATTTGTATTCATCAATTTTTGGGCTTGATAATTGAGCTGTTGTGTGGTTCCCAATATGAAAACATCATGCTGGTGCTCTGTGTTTCGATTATCGACTGTCGGAGCAGTCATGCATTTATTAGCAGAACGGTCAATACTGTAGTCTTTTCACGTGTTTGTCTTTTCGCCGGGGGTATTAGCGGTAACGCTGCACACAGAACGGCAGTGTTGCATCACTGGACGACCCTGCCTCTGCATCTGACTTAATTTCCCCAGGATCTGGTGCAGTTACACCAGACAGCCACTTCCTGTAAACACGCAAACAGCAAAAGAAGAGATCCCGCAAATCAGGAAAAACCATTGTGGAAAATATAGAGTAGATCATACAACATTCAATAATCTGGAGTAATTACAGTGAGACAAACACTTCAAACAGTGCTCTCTCTCTCTGTCTCCATCCTTCCAAAAATACCCTATGACAATTCCTTAGAATTATTTCATTTTATATTCTTAGGACATCATTCTGAACATAATAAATTCTTCCATGGGTCTTCAATCACCACGGAGGGCGAAAATATATCTAAGTCATGCAGTTCACGGGAGGTGCGAGCTGTCATGGATATAGAAGCTGATATTGTGCCAGCGTGAGGGCAGAGACAGAAAGAAGACACAGAATTCTTGAACAACTCACCTATATATAATCGAATCCACAAGGAGCGCTCATACTTTGATCCATAAGGACGCGAAACATCTTCAAAGCACTCTCAAACACGGAGTTTTACTGTGGGCAGCCAATTTCACAGCCATCATGAAGGCACTCGACGACTACAGGAGTTTTGTAGAGGAAAGAACAAGGAGTAAAGTCTTAAGAGCGACAACAATCGCTTGAAGAAAAAGCAAAGAAAAACTGCTGTCTCTCCAGTCATTTAGATGCTGTTGCCCTTGACATCTGGTTCCATCCAGAGGACGCGACTTTTGTTTGTCCCCAGTGCTCTCCGTTGCTATGCGTATCGAAGGAGCCGTGACGTCACACTTAACAGCCCCATAGGCTATTAGTATTATATAGGGCCTAGGCCAGGGAGCCCTACACATAACGGTATGTGTAGGGCTCCCTGGCCTAGGCTAGGGGCCGTCCCAGGCCAGGGCCAGGGAGTCGTCAAATACCAGGTATTTGATGACTCCCTGGCCTAGCGCGAGGTATATTATGTATCAGATTGCAACGACCAGGAGGCTCTTAGTAGTGGCTGCAAATGACCGATATCCGTCACTTGCGGCTCTGTATCAGAGACCTGTAGCTGGCCTGAAGAGTTGTAAAATTACTCCTTCGTAGCCGGGGGAGTCAGAGCGAGGGCGATTCACGGCTTGGTCAAAAAACTGTCGGCCTGGAACGTAAACGTGGATCTGCCGACACAGTTCACCTGGTTCACACGCCTGACCTGGCATGCTGCCTTGCGTGAAAGGAACATTTTTCCGAAAGCAAGCTTCTTCTCCAAAATTCGAAATTTCTTTCCAAAAATGCCGTCGTCCTTGATCTCGAAGCTGAATGTTGTTAGGATAGAAAATTAGCGAAGATGTAGCCGACCCATTCTGGCAAGCCGTGTGCCCTCTGGATATGCAGTTGTTCGCCATGGTCAACAATCTTCTTCTCCTTCGTTCGTACTTTCACTTTCCTGACCACGAATACAAGCGGTACCCATGCTCAGGTTAGTGTTTATTTGTCTGTCTATGCACATACATGTAATACAATGTACTGTTCGTGCTGCAGGCACTGGCCGACCATGGAAATAGAGGAAGCAGCCAGCTTTCTTTGAATTCTCGTGCTTTCAACAAAAATATGTACACACTTTCCTTGGCTCCTCTTTCCCACCGCCACCATGCATGCACAATCGAGCTTGCTTTAATGCCCTGCAGTGCAGAATGCTCCCACCACCGCAACTACCACCGCCGCCACCACTACCAGCAGCACCACTGCCACCGCCACCACCACCGCCACCACCACCGCCGCCACCACCGCCGCCACCACCACCGCCACCACCACCTCCACCACCTCCACCACCACCTCCACCTCCACCACCACCACTGTGACCACCACCACCACCACACCACCACCACCACCACACCACCACTGTGACCACCACCACCACCACACCACCACCACACCGCCACCACTACCATCACCGTGACCACCACTAGTCTATAGAAGCATTGTCGTGCACGGCACGTCTGCAAGAGAAAATAATAGTATGCCAGTGCTGTAATGCCCTGCAGCGCAGTATGCTCCCGCCACCACCACCACCACCACTAACGTTATGGAAGCATTGTCACACACTGTACATCGATCCACAAGAGAAAATGATGCCAGTGACTTACTAGCACCTCCATGCTGCATGCGGACCTGGACACAGCACTGTTCCCTCTGCAGGAAAGGGGGGGGGGGGTGTATTTCATTGTCCCTGCCTGAAGTAATAATGACTACATGACATGATATCCAGCTAACTTTGCCAGTAGCGAACGACCCTTGATCGGGCATGAGAAAAGTGTTGGTATTTGGGAGTTGTCGTCATTCACGGGGTTGAAAATATACGGCTATATTGTTACTAGGTCTGAAGATAGTCTCACTATCCGTGGGTTGTTATACCCGTGGTTGACTGCAGATACGTTTGGATTATTCTATGAGTATATGAAGGGTATACGTTAAATATTTTCCTGAGGACATAGCACGAGGAAATTATGGGGAATGCAGTACATGTATAGAATGGTGCAATCCATTTCTCCCAGGGCACTTTCCCAAGACTCCTTCCAATATTCACTCTTGGCGCGACCCTTGTGAACTGAGCGGGGTGTATCGTTGAATATACCCCTCTCAGAACGTCTACTGATTGGCTGAAATCGCCCAATTCATACCGTTCCATGGATGTCAGGGAGTCGTAGCACCCAAGGAAACAACACGAGATCATGATACCCAAAATGATGTACTGTAAAAGCGGAAATTTTCAGTGGTGTTTTATTTTCGGTAACTTCGGTGCCGACAATTTTTACCGAAAAAATGCACCGAACTTTTTCGGTACTACTTAGTGGTACTAGCACCCTTACCTGGAAAGCGGGTATTACCGAAAATTTCCCTCCACCGAATCGCCGATTTTGGAGAATTCCGAAAATATTACACTACCGAAAATTTCTGCTTTTACAGTACACAGATTGGATCCATGGAGATTCTACATGATCTGTGGTTTATGCAACTCGTGATTGCGGACTTGACTCACTGGCCCCAAGCATGGGTCAGTCAAGCGATGCTATATGCGAGCATGTATGTATCGCACTTGCCCCTAAGGCAGTTAGGGCAACTGTCACTGGCAGCCCAGGGTTGAACCCACGTTATTAATTTTTGAAATTTTCTAGGGTGACACGAAAAGCTTCATGCACTGGGTGGTCACTCTCTATTCATGTATACCACTCTGCCAATAGTGCATAGAGCTCTCTTTCGAGCTGCCCAGCTGGCCCTCGTTATGATTTAGGCTGAAAGTCTACCGTGCCGTCTCCCTTATGCTATGACTCCATAATGCATATGTACAGAAGAAAAAATCCCGGGACTCCGTTGATGAAATTCTGTTTTGTCAAGTGGGCATTTTTGATTATTGTGAATGGCGTGTAGTGCCATAGTACAGTTCCTTTTGCTACATAACGTTTGCACAAGTCACCTTTCAGCAATTGAACTAGGAAGATCTATGTCTCTGATCTTGTCATTTGGCCCGGCAGGTGCTGTGCACTAACAACCATTGTCAGGCACCCTCGAAAGACCAACAGCGATGAGTTCATGACCCAAGCATTATTTGGGCCGTTAAGTTGACTAAACGGGAGTGTAGCAAGCTTTGATCGGCGTGCTTGTGAAATGTTGTCCGAGCTGAATAGAGTCTATCTCCTGCAGTTTAGTACAACAGTTTCACACCTAATACTGTAGATTCGACGTCTCCAAGAAAAACCTCCATGGAGACTGGAAACTATAGCAGATCATAAATTATGCAGCAGCTCAGCTGATTCCTCAGCTCGTGTCTAGATTCATGTACTTTGGTAAACGTGTTGTGGCAGACTCCATGTGCAAAGCTGCATACTCTTGGGATTATTGATTCTTGCTGATAATTCCATTAACGTTATTGCATAGATATGAACATCATAATAATTGAATGTTGGCAAGACCCAACAAGGTGTCCCTAATGACTTACATCAGATCTTCACAAAATGCACATACTGTAAGACATGATTTTATAATATACAATCATGTCTTACAGTATATATTATATAACGAGGAAGCAAATCTAACGTTTTAACGGATGACATTTCTTCGTTATAATAAGATCCGTTGAGGCCTTACTGCTTCATATATGCTGTGTGTGGATATGGCAGAATACTGCAAGATCGTTAACCTATGAATTTTGGACAATCGTTAAATTAGCGACTCATTATAATAACATGTCTTACAGTATAATATCTTGAAAAGCCGTATTTTGGTTTCACATACACGTCTCATTTCTATCACAGAGATCAGCAGCCATGGGCCATTGGTGGCAATACTGGTAGGAGTCGCCCGAGGCTAAGCCATTAATTTCCGTTCTATACCCAATATACATACCTGAACTGGGCACAAATCTATCCCATTCCTTGGTGCTGACCCCTTTGATGCGCCCCCGAATCCCTTAGCATTATTAGTACCTCCAATTCATTTCGTCATCAGCTCACCGCATGCTCAGTACTGTGTTGTAAAGTATGCAAATTTTCGACGCTTTTAAATTGCAGCCTCCCCAGGGCAAAAGCACATCTCGGCCACATTGAAATTTCAGCCTGTACTGCTGATGCCTGTATACACTGTCACATTGAACCTTGTGAAACAAATTTTAGGCTACAAATGCCCAGTACATAAAAGGGGAGAAGGCACTGAACGAAGTGTTAACCTACGAATACAACCTACGAATACAACCTCAGTGCAACAACATGCTCTTTCTCTTTCTGCTTGTGTAAGCAGAAAGAGCACGTTGTTGCACTGAGGTTGTATTCGTAGGTT